GAAACAATTTTTCCAAGAATGATATGTAAATTGTTATACGTAATCTGTAACATGAATCCGTTTAGTGAACCTTTAATTGCCCTTTTTTTATAGAGAGGAAAATTCGTAATGTTTGACAAACTTTTTTAAAGTTAAATGAACCTGTGAATTATCTAAGTTACGTCTAGAATTTTTTATGATCTTATTAAGGTGATGTCTAATCGTAAGTTGAGTCATCGCCTTTAATAACGATTAATATTTCCTTGCTATGGCTATTTTTTTTTGCGACCACGTCTGGTTAGATAGTTAATTAGCGCAAGTGACCAATAAATGGTCTGTCAAAAGAGAATGTCGATCACGCCGGATCTGATTTTTGACCTTTCTGGTTTATTACATAAAAAAAATTACTGAACCACTAACGATAAGTTTTAGGTATATCAATTGTTGAGTTGATTCAACAATGGCGTACTGGAGGTTTATTCCTAAAGGAGCCTCAAGTTTACTGGCTGAAAGTTGGCTTCTACCCAGAACAAAACCAAATCGGTTGTTGCTTTTGTTTTTGTTATGCGTAATTGTGCTGTTAGTGAGTAAACTTTTAGATCTAATTACCTACCAATTTGTATTGAGTAATTGTTAATTGTATACGAGTATGAGGTTCCTCACATATGTCGAAAGGACTACGTGTGCGTTATATAACGACAATAATAATAAGAAGAATAATAAAACATAAAGCTTCGGTATCAGTGCACTTGTTCAAGGTTTTCCTCGCAAAAAAGCCAAGCCCGAAAAGCGGTGGTTCGATCGGTCTTTAAATAAAAAATGACGGCGTCGTACTCAAATACACCAACACACGCATAAGAGAACGAGCGAGAGCGCGTCATTTGGTTTGAAGGTCTGGGTCAACGGTTCCTATCCTCTATAACCTTCGTAATCGTAGAGTACCCAATATTTATACGTATAAATATGTATTATGTGGTTACTTCATTTATATTAATTTGTGATACGTTTGCACCTTGTGTACGTATCAAATATGTACCTACAGTAAACGACGAAAGTCACGAAACAATTTTTTTTAAATACGTGCCCGCGCGCCGCCCATTCAGGAAAAACAAACACAAACCCAAATGGATTGTGGTCACTTAAAAACAAAAACGTAAATGATGTAACTCGATAAAATCAAACAAGAAAAAATTGACAACAAACAATAGACATATGTAACATAAACAATGAACGTCTTGAGAAGTAGGCATTTGAGTAAATGAAAATTTTTTTGTATGCAAGAGGTAGTATCTACATGGGATTGCGTATCAAGTGGGCCAAATCAGATGAGTCTTTTCTCTGTTGTGTAATATAGAAGGGCATAGGACTTAGCCCACATGGTGATTTCACCAGTTGCGTCTATTGTTTTTTTTTTTCGACAAAAGCCTTTGATAGTTAGATAGCTACTGCTTCTTATTCTAAAACCAAAACTGATTATCAGGCCTAACTACAACATTGTGTATCAGTTCCAAGTCATTAGTTGTAGGTATCTAATGTTTTAATTAATTACATTTTGTGATGCGGATTATACGTAGGTTTTTTTGTTTTTGAACTATATTATCCGTCAACAGTAGACAAGAAAACGAATGAATAAACGATGGTTTGGAGACAGAGGGTTGTCGTAATTCTTGGCCGGTGTGTTCCAAGACATCAACAGTTTCCGGTGTCGCGCAGTATGACCCACATAGAATCGTCGTGAATGCACAAAAAAACGTGAACTAAGGATGTCTGTCTGGCGATCGCTCACAATTGTCAACTAAAAAACACATTTTTTTTACTTTTATTTTTGTAGCTGATCATTTACTAAAATATGACGCACCATGCGAGTTGATGAATTAAAAAATCGTCTGGAGTCTAGTAGGTTTAATCATAAGAAAAATAAAATAAAATTGAAATTTTTGAATTGGTCTTCATATTCCTAAACTAAAAATTGCACTCGCACTTTTACTATATACTGTATAATACGTGTCGTTTTTTTCTTTGTAAACAAATTTATTGACCCATACTGTAAATGTCTTCGCGAAGGTTAACTCAAATATTACATAAGACCGGTGACAATGATCATTGAAAATTTCAGTGATCAATATGCATACCAATAAAACGTGTCTGCAGGTACATCAGCATCTTCATTTTACGTTCATTAATTCGATAGATGTTTCTTCTGTTAACGAAATGTTTCCTGCTGTTTAATTCTAGTTCGACGCTTTTCTTTATTTGAATATTATAAAAGATTCCCAGCATTTTCCAGAACGCTTTGGTCGAAATATATACATATAAAAGATGCTCTAGTATAGTGTCAAAAGTCACCCTTACCATTCATACATAGTGGTTCTCAAATATGTTCTCTATTCTTCCAATCCAATTGATTTTATAACATTCCATTTGAATACAACTCGAAACAGTGGAGATCATTCTAGCTTCGGAGCAGAACATTCTAATACTTTTTCACATATTCTAAACGGGTATTTGATTGATAACCAGTGACCCACCCACTGGACCAAACCAAACATTTTTTAGGATACTTATAGTAAAATGTGAAAATAAATTTAAAGTAATTTGGTGGTGAATTAAAAATGATATATTAGGGTCATTAAATTAATTGCTCGTTATCTGACCTGGTAGAACAAAAAATTGTTTGTAGCGATAAAAATAAGGTCGCTACCTACACCTGTTATCGGAAACTTGAGTTTGTTTTCAGATTATTTTGATTGCCTTTGATTACATTGCTTACTCTTCTCTTCCTTGTTCCTTTTAAATTCAATAAACGAAATATGTATTCAAATAATAATTATCCACCTTTGTATACATAATAATTTTATGTACACATTAATAACATTAAAAGTTTCTTTGTAACTACTAACCGTTTCACTCAGTATTAGTATTACGTTAATTTATCGTTTTGTCTAATTGTGATCCAGCTTATCGTTGAATTTAATTTTAGAGACTCCAGCAAAGTCTTTTTAAATTTCTTCGACTTAATCTAAAAGACAACTGAATTCTATAGGGACCATTAAATGTATGTATTTTTAAATAGACACAACTGTCGAGTGTGTTTTACATGCAAGAATAGAACGACTATTTTTGACCGTTTCTCTGTTTTTATGTATCCAAGTTCTTGCATGTATTGTCAATTCTAACTACATATTTCACGTTAAATGTAAATTGTTCACAAAGGTTTGTATGATCATAGTGCATACAAAATGTAATATCTTTCACAAACATCAATATTCTTCATGCATCCAATACCATAAAAAGGTACATAGTTATCAAATAAGCTTTTCATTAATATATTTCATTAGGTGTTTTAGAGGGAAATTTTAATCATTCGCGAAATGTATTCCTTTGTTTCAATTAAAGTACGCTTAGAGTAATACGTAAAAGCGACAATAATACAGTCACATTCTCGCGGTCTGAGTCAGCAAACAGACGAGGCGAGCGATGCCGAGCGTTCGCGTAGTCTAAACGCACCTTTAACAGAATAAATTTAAGATGGTAATTATTTAAGAACAAAAAAGAAGAAACGCAGGAAGTTCTGTTCGTATTTAACTCCAGGCATGTGGTCCTGTGGATGCCTTTAGAATTTGAGAACATATAAGTACATGTGTTTTTTTTTTTAATTTATTCTTATTCACATCACTTCATATAAATACTACACATCATACGACACATAGATAATGTAAATTATTACCTTGTAGTACTTATCGTTACTTTATCAAAAACTATTTAATGAATAAATATATATTTTCATTACGATAAAATGTTAAAAATATAAACTGAATGTTCCAAGCGTTATCAAATTATGTATTAGTAACACTTAATCCAGATGATTAAAAAAATAAAATTTCCTACTTATGTAATGATAAAAAAATTGATGTAATTTATTCAATGTGAAGTATATTCTGTTTGGGCTTTTCGGTTTTTCGGTATTACATATTACTAGAGAGAGGAAGTAATATCCGTTTCTGTGGTTGATTCTTCCAAGTTTGAATTTAATCTTTATCTTATCGTAAAGGTTATCTATCTAGTAAGGCTACATCCTCCATACACCGATAGTACACACAAACATTGTGCACATAAATTCGATTTAAAATAGTCAAAAAAAAGATATAACTGTATTTTATACAAGTTTACTTTATCGTTGTGGTTTTTTCGGAATCTAATAATTTTGTAATATTTCAATGCTCATATGCCAAGGTCGAGTGCCCTTCAATAAAAAGAAATCACTTCTACGCTCACGAACGATTAATTTAGAAATTCGAAAAAGGTTGTTAAAGATGTATGTGTGGAGCGCGGCCCTGTATGGGTGCTAATGATAAGAATAGCTTGGTAGATAAATGAAGAGGTATTAGAAAGAATAGGAGAATAGAGGACTCATTGGAAATCAATAGATAATAGTCGAGATAGATTAGATTACTGTTCGCAAATAGTTAAGAATGTTGGATGTTCTAGTTTTGGGGAAATGCGAAGATTAGCTCAGGATAGGAAAGAGTTGGAGGTGCTTATCCAACCAGTCTTAGGACTGACGACTTTATGATGATGATGAGGATGATAATGTGAAGGCTCCTCTTTTCTATTGACGACTTTTTTGACATTGACGTAACACTGACAACTCTGTTTGACTGCCAGGTGATTCCCCTAAATTATTTTAAAGTTTTATGTGACTTGTAGGGACTTAAAATCAATAAACGCGATCAATCGCGTCAATGATCGGGACTTCCCATGTGAACATGATACTCAGTCGACCGGGATTCCCCTTTCCGACTGTTTTTAGTGTAAGAAAAAATTTCCTAAAATGCCCAGGGTCGCCAATGGCCCTGCATACATAGGCCTTGCTAATAGTTAAGACACAGTGAAGCCCATTTCCTGCTAAGCTTTGTCCTGCCTCTTCCAACCAGCATTATTTCCTGAAGAATTCCCAGAATAACCAGCACCGCATGCATGTCGGTCAAATAATCTCTAAAGGGAACATGTTTTTGTTGCAGAGGAGGAAATTGACGTGGTGTCCGTTGGTGGCGAGAAACAAACTATACTAAACAACAACCGATGCGGCTATGTCCTCCCCAACAATCCCACGTTCAAAGATCGCCAGCATTTACAAAGAACGATGGCGTCGGCGATCCAGATCAAACAACAGCAGCAAGAAAGCTCAGACAGTCGGCGTATTAATAACACTAATAATACGACGACCGCGTTCGTTAAACCCCCTCGTACGTTTGATACGACCACCACCACCACCACCCCCGCCAAAAGGCATTTGCCGGAACCCCGCGCGGTCAAAAGGAATAAGATCAATCATTACAGGATAGCACAGACAACGACGTCCCCTTATAAACGCCGAATGGGCTACAGTAGCGACAGCGAACCGGAGCCCTCGGAGAAGCGCAGTCTTCACAATAACATGGAAAGACAGCGGCGAATCGACTTGAGGAATGCGTTCGACTGTTTGCGATTGCTCGTGCCGGAAGTGGCCGGACGAGAGAGGGCTCCCAAAGTGGTCATACTCCGTGAAGCGGCCTCTTACTGCGACCACCTCGGAGAAGTTTCGATCAATATGCACCAGCAGATAAACGACCTGCGTAAACAGCAAGAAAAACTTCGAGCGCGCGTGTCTCAATTGAGACGCAACCTGGCCGCAAAACGTTAAAAGACGCGAAAAAATAAGGAAATAGTTGTAAAACAATGCAAAGACATGTGCATGATAATATGTAAGTAAACGAAGGAATTGATTGGTAATGTTACAACACACAGACAGACATACACATACCATACAAACACACAGACATTGCTCGATTGAACATAACACAAGCACAAACTGTTTCGTTTTATTTTTTATTAGGTGTATTCGCTGGAAATATTTTAACTGTGATCCATATGAAAGTTAAGTTAGTTAATTTAGAAAAGTTAAGTTTTGTTTGATGATTTTTTTTTTGTTGTATATAGTTGTTCAGTAGTGCAAGGTAAAAAAAAAGGAAGACCGATAGGTACGGATATTTTCTTCGTGACTCGTTCGTGGTGGGGTTTTGTTTCTTTTCTCAAATAATTAAAAAAAAAAAAAATAGTTCGTTTTTCAACATTGGATATTTGTGATTTAATTTTTGTGATAGTTTTGTAATTATTGAATTTTTGCGGGGAACGTTACTTTGAATTGAGAATAATTGACCGTTGGGCTAACGATTGGCGGCCAAGTTGATCCACACAGAGCGCGCGCGTCGAATGTTGTCCTCTTCTTATTATTATTATTATTGGTTCGTTTTAATTTTTTTTTTGTCTATTTCTACAGATTGGTTAGCAAATGAGAGAGATTAAGAAGTTAATTTTGACTGTGGATGTCTGCCTTGGTATCATTGAATTTGGTTTGCTTTTCACACATGTTAACCACGGAACATTACATTCTACAGACAATTCGGGTAAGTTATTAAGTTAATCAATTAATTATACGTTATAAATATATTGCCAATTTGGTTAACAAAAGACGTCCTGGGACGTAATGCATAGGATGACGAGCGTATGTTACGTTTTTGTATAATACCGTCAGATTGTCCATCGTGTTGCTGGGACTATAGGTAAGAACATCGATTCGCACTTCCAACTCCCGATTTAAAAACGTTTTTATTTCTTGATTGTTAATTTTTTAAAAGACGAGTGTTTTATAAGTCAGAACTGCTCCTGTAGTCTGACGCTCAGAATACACTGCAGTGAAGTGGGTTGCCTATGTCAAGGGCCAGCGGACGCCAGCAATATTTGAAANACTTTTAAATTAAATTTTTAAACAATTTCGAACACAAAGAAAGTGATTAAACAAATTGTTCAAAAAGTGAATTTCGACCACTCGAAGCAATGGTACATATTATTATTATTATTATTAGTAGGATACTGTTTTTAATCGATAATAATAAGCAATACTTATTGAAATTGTTTGTTTCGCGTTGTTTTCGTTTTCAGTTTTTTCATTAGCAGAATTTGGCGGTTTTTTTTTTTGTAATCATCAGCTTCTCCGAGAAGTAAGTTTTAAAGTGATTGTAATTTGTTAGTATTACTTCTATGTAATGGTTTTTTTTTTCGTTGTAAGTTGTAGTTAATATCTTTTAAACATATCTTTAACTATGCTATGCAGTTGGTCCGAGACTCGAGTAAGAGAACATCTATGCCCGTGTCAGAAAGTAAAAAAAAAGAAAAAACATTTTTTACAGTGTAAATTTCACGTTTTTTTATCGTTTGTGATAGTTTGCATCCCGATTTGCTCAACTACAATAATACCTGGTTAATGATATCTAAAGACAGCGCGTCGCGTCGTTCGCAAATACAGGGTCCGTACTTAGGCCGGTCATCTCAGTAGCTAAATATTCCTTGCTTATGTTAGAAGCAAATTTAATTCTATTCGTGGTAAGTTCAATCATAATGGAAGATGGAAAGTACAATAATGTTGTCCAGTTTTGGAACAAATATTTCCTAAGTACGCCCCTGATAACGACGTACGTACGGTCTTTAATTATTTATATGGAACGATGTTATCGATTTTGTTTCTTGATGTCCAGGAATCTGCATAGTTGTGCTATTAATATATTTATGGAGCGTTTTTCTAGTAGTTTTTTGTTAGAAAAACGCTTGGTTCTTCTTTTGCTTGGATTGGGGTTTTTATATGTATAAAAGTTACTCGCCCTCCCTGAAAGGTTAATTAACAAAATGAAAACAACTTACGTCTCATTCATTAATAATAATTTATTGTTCGGTACAGGGCCACTTTCGCTCCCTAGTAGTTATTGGTAATTGTTTTTTGCGAAGGTTTTACACTTTGCGCCATTTAATTTTGTTCGACAAAAAAAAAAAGAAAGTAAAGAAAGTGACCATGTACGTGCGTCAGCTAGCCGAGTAAACGTGATACATGTAAGCTAAGGGTAAAAAAAAATTAAAAAAGTCCCTTTGTTTTCGTCGCAACTATATTAGGTGCGCATTTTCTTTTATAATTAGACGTTTTTCTCGGCTTGGCCATAGTATGTTTATTTAGCATTTAGTAGTTAATTATAATTAACAAATTGTTACCAGTTACTGAATTAAAGTAAATTAGGGCTGAATGCTCCTTCACACATGATTTTCGTGCCAAAATGTTAATAAGGTTCTTTTTAAGTTAATTGTTTAATTGAACCGATTTTTTATCTTCAAGTTTTTTTTTAATAATACGAATCACCTTTTGGAATTAAAGTAAATCCTGCCTCTAAACCTTCATCATTTATTGCATACTTTTTATAAAAGTAACATGACTGAATTTTTATCTCTAAAGAGTTTGCAGAAATTCTTCTGAGTCACAATTTAAATTATGTTTAATATGTACATATGTCATTTGTGTGTACATGTGATAAGTGGTTTGAAGGCAAAAAGTTATGAATAAGGATCGGGCGTCGTTCGCAGAACGCAGATATTAGATCCGTACTTAGGCCAACTTTCTTAATAGTTAAACAGTTTCATTAATGGTCAGTGCAGTAATGGAAAATACGATGATTTTACCTTGCTCGAAATATTCAGCCTGATAAACAAAAAATAGTCAAAGTGCGCCGCTGATAATAAGGTCATCTGCAAACGACGAGACGTGTGGTCCTTACTGTTAGTAATGAAATTAAAACCTGATTTAATTAAATAACCTGCTTCCTGGATATTGAAGGAATGTTGTAGGTATCGTGCATTTACGCCTGAAGCATAGGTTTGCTTATAAGTCATTAATAATAAAGAGAAAAATAATTAAAGGCATCCTTACTGCATATTACTCGAAAATCATTTACTAATGAATAATATTTAATAGAGACATAATAACAATTATAATAATGATGATTATGCATTGTTTTTTTATTATTTTGCACGTGAAGTACTCTTATATTGATAAATAAAATGTGCTTGGGACACCTTTAAATCTTGTGTCTTCCTCAAGCATAATTATTATTATTATTATATTAAATCAATTACGCTTAGAATAAACTTTATATTATTATTATTATTATTAGTAGGATACTGTTTTTAATCGATAATAATAAGCAATACTTATTGAAATTGTTTGTTTCGCGTTGTTTTCGTTTTCAGTTTTTTCATTAGCAGAATTTGGCGGTTTTTTTTTTTGTAATCATCAGCTTCTCCGAGAAGTAAGTTTTAAAGTGATTGTAATTTGTTAGTATTACTTCTATGTAATGGTTTTTTTTTTNTACCCCCCCATAATATTAAAAAAGAAAATAATGAACGAAAAGTACCTGTGATCCAACCTCGCTGTAAAGCCAAATATGCTATGCCATGCACTTCCATTTCACTTACGATTAGTTTTCCATTAAAATAAACCATTAATGCACCGATTGATTAGGGAAAACTTTTGTGCGTTAATTGTTTATTTTTGTTCGAGTTAGTGCGATTTCTATTTGATCGAGGCGCATTTTAGAATACATTAACGACAGGCAATTCTCTTCTTCTACGACGTACGAAAAAAATAAGCATTAGATTTATATATGCAGAGAAGTATAATACATATTATTACGACATTGTTATTACTATTACGCTGTAAGTTTAAAAAATCGAACGTTTTTGTACTTATTTTTCATACATAAACACTCTTCTTCTGTTAATAAAATACAATATATGACATATTAATATTTGGTTGTAGTTCCTGGTAATTTTTATATGAATAAAATGCTAATGCTTCGTTAAATAGTTTTTAATACCGTATTAAAATCTTTAAGAACTGCTTACAATAAAGTATGAAAAGAAATAGCGCAGCTGAAGAAGTTTTTTGTAAGATGGGGGAAGTTGTACTACAGCAATGTGTTCTATATGTGATACTGACAAAAGAACTTTGGATATTAGTTTTTTTTTGGGGAAAGAGGGAAATTTTCCAGAGATCTTCAGGTAAAAATGTACACTATAAAATCGTTGTATGTTTCTTATCGACTTTCACTAAATCCAGTAAATTAATGTACATAAATTTTAATTGTCAAAATTAATAGACCAATTCAATCAAATAATGTTAAAATTGGAGTAATTTAAGTTATGAGATTAAGCAAAAATTAAGCGTCGATTTAAAAATTACATAATACATTTAAAAAGAATTTGTTTTAAATAAATGTTTCTCTAATTTGTATACAAACGTGCCGAGTCATTTAAACATTTTAATAATAACGTAACAAGTTTGTGTAATATTGTGCTGCAATTGCATGAAATTGCAACATAATTGACAATAACATTAGTAGGATCTTAAATGAACTTGAGAAAATTAGACAAGCTATAGGCAACACACATAACAAGGAAATCGATTTTCTCTAATATTACAATTTATAGCTGGAAATATCCTAATTAATATCAGATAATTCTAGTAGGTAATGTGGGTGTGTCTCTCTTATTTAAAAAGGCTTCCTGAAAACTTTCTGTAATTGTGAATATGTTGTTGAGCAACAAGACATTGGCACACTAATTTTCTCATACGTATATTGACTATTCAGATAAAATGTTAACTGATTTCTTATCTTTATTTGGTATTCATAACTGCAAATTACAATTATTTTTTATGTAAAAATCATTCTGTTTTGTTTCTTTTTCGTTTATGTGCTAAAACCCTTTTATGTTTATGTGAATTAAGATGAATTGACCACTGAAATTGTCCTACAAAAATCCGATCGCAAACATCACATTTATAAGTATCGTCCTTAGAATTAGGCAAAGACGCAATTTGTAAGCGAGGCAGAGGTTTTTCAGTGGATGACACCCCTTCCATGAAACTGTCTATTATATTTCTTGCCGGTTTATAGACTTTTTCATCCCACAAACTAGGGTCAGTGGTATCTAAACCATACACTGGAGGGACCTAAATTTTAATATTATATTAGAATATTCGTTTAATGGTATACTATAATCATCAAAAAGGTTGAAATTTAACATAACGTGCAAGCATTCTAAACAACGTAAGTTACAGTCTAACATCTTCAGAAAAAATCGATTCCAATAGTAGTAATTTTACCCACTATATTTTTACCTCTCTGTCTTCTCTTCCCAAAAATCTGTTTTTAATCCATTTGCTCTGTTTTCGAGAAAACCTGCGAGTGACCATTTTCATTTCTACAATTCCTTCCTGTAGTAATTTTTGACCCAATTCACTCTGCCTTTCAGTTTCATTTAACATTAAATATTCGTGAAATTCTTTAAATCCAATTGATTGAAAGATGCCCTTTGTGTAATCAGGCTTCCTATAAGAGCATATGAAGTAAATGTGGTGCTCTAACACTTAAATAGAAATGTACAAACGAACATTACTTACTCATCAGGGGAAGTACGTCCATCATTATATTGTTTATGGAAATTTAAGAGTTCATTTAATAATCCTTCCTTAACCATTGAATCTACCCTATTATTTAAACGTTCATCCAATGTTGTCTTAAACAAACCTTAAGCATCTTTGAAAATGCAACAATTTAGAAAGATAAAACATACCTGATCACATTGCAACCATAAGATCAAAGAATTAAAAAATCTCAGAGGTCCACCTTGACTGGAGCCCCCTGTAAGTGCTTGTTGTTGTTTAATTATTTCACTATGTAAAACACCCATATTTTTAGCAATCTCCAAAGATCTTACAATTTTTCTTTTATTGTTTGGGTGTACTCTTTTAGCCATTTCGGGGTCTATGTCTTCCAGTTCTTTATGCAACTCCTGGCTGGATTTTGGCAGTTTGTCACTCAAACCTTCTCCTGGTATATAATGCACTTCACTTTCTCTAGAGTTCTCTATCAAAATATTCCAAAGTAATGCCTCAATGTAATAATTAGTACCACCAACAATAACTGGTAATACGTTTTTTGAGAACAAGTTTTCTATCTGTTTTACTGTTAAGTATTGTTTTGCAGTTAAAAGAGAAAGAACCAACGTGAAAAGGATACAATTTTCAAAGCCTGATTCTTAAAGTCAGTAACAGTAAACATTTGGGTTGGATTAATAACATCGATTAGATGATGTGGGGCATGTGCTCTTTCTTGTTTGGTTGCTTTGGCTGTAATTACATCTAATCCCTTGTATAACTGTGAATGATTATTGGTTAATTGTTATCTGGTGAAATAATTTTTTGTAATGTATTAAGACTTACCTGCATGGAGTCAGCACTGATAATTTCACCCTTGTAGTGTTGAGCTAATTGTAAAGAAAGTTTCGTTTTCCCGGTCCCTGTGGCTCCAAGAATAACTACTAAAGGTAATTTACTTTTCATATTTAAATTTTTTATTAACTTGTAATAATTTAAATTATGCTGCATATGCTAGATATGGAAATATTTACGTATGTTCATAACCACACTTTTCCTTGCCTTAAAAATTATTTTTTAAAAATTCGCAAAGAATTTATGAAAACGCTTTTCGAAAATCCTTTAATTTAGTCAATTGATTAAATAATTATTTTAATTTGAAATGCGCAAAAGGTATGCATAAAGTTGAATGTGTAGTAAGTGTATTGAAGTATGAGTAGAATTTCAAACAGGCATGTTTATTTAATCACCTACTCAGTGATTGTAATTACATTTCTATGCACTTATTATTAATAAAAATATCTGGACAAAATCATTTCAAAATTTATGACTTCTTGGCTGAACTATTTTCCTCAAGTTGATTAACTCGTATAATTTTTCATTAAGATTAATAGACATTGTTTGATTTAGTATAATATATTAACATTCAGAATTGCTTTTTATCTAAAGTTATTGCTGTAGGGAAGGCTAAAAAGGCTGACAAATTTAAATTCAATTTTTTAAAAATATTTTATTGTTGAAATATACTGCAAATTTATTCAAAACGGTTTACATAAAACGTGATACAAAATTCAGTAATTAATAGATATACAACCCACATAACCGTATGAAAGCACGTTTTTTAAATAATAAAAGAATACGTTTTTTAAGTTAAACAGTCAAAGTCAAGTGAGTTTAGAACGAAGCAACTGCTGCAAGTAATGTCGCTGCACTGGTTTATGTTTTGCTAACTTTTCTAAGGCCTCTTCTACTGTAAACCACTGCCTCTTCCTCCCTATTGTTCGAGAATCCTCCCACTCATCCAACTCCTCTGTTACAATCATGACATAGACCTCAGTTCTATGCTTGTGCTCTCTGCTCTGTAAAATCATCACAGTTCTGTATGAACTATTGAAAAACAGCAAGTAGATTATTTAACATTAAATATAAAAATGTTAAAGAGCAAAAGTTACAAAATACAAAATTACTTCAAATACACCAAGGCTACGCCCAAGTTTTCCAATTACACCAGCTTCTTCTAAAACTTCTCTAGTTGCTGTCACACTTGGCTCCTCTTCTGGTTCAACACCTCCTCCAGGAACTATCCATGAATCTGGTCTCCTTGAAGATGTCACTAGTAAAACCTATAACATTTATTTTAACGTATTAATAAACCCATTAACAGACAAAGAAACATGCAGGGACACATTCAACCAAACAGGTACCTTCCTCTACACATTTTCTTATCATTAATTTTCAATTTATAACAACAACGTAGTCCAGTTGAACACTGATTTAATTTAAACCATCTTTAATTACCCAGTGAATTTTTATAAAAGGGGGCCCACCAATCATAGTTTTGTCTTAGATATATTTTAAAAAAAAGCCAAACTTCCACCTGTAGTATCAGCTTTATACTTGTGGCATTAGATAAAAATCAAGGTTAACTGAATGTCACAATTTTTTTATTTCTGTTCTGGAAACAAAGCAAGTTGAATGGATTGACTAACGATTAGTCAAACATAAATTTGTAATAAATCATTCTCACGGGAGACTGATGACAATGATATAATATTAAATTAGTTTTTTCAATTACGTGTTATGAAACTAACCTAGCACATGAGGTAAAAAATAAACAAGAAAATAGGTATTAATATTATTCAATAATATTTGGTTGTCTCACAGCTGTTACCTCTATAAATATACCTGCAAATATTTACTTCGTGATACACATTTTTCAATGTAACTATTGGCAATTACGATATTAATTTAATCACTTACCTCAGCTTCTGATTCTGATCGAACGCAAATACATGCAGCACGCCGCCGAAATCCTTCATCATCGTAAATTCGAGTTGAATTTGGCTTTTCTTTGACCATTGTGGGATCTTACTAGTTTGATTTTGAACTTAACAACACTCAAGAAGAATATTTATTGAAAATTAATTAAAAATAAAGATACTACTGAATAGCCATCGCAAAAGAAAATTATGTCACACCTTCATCCCACAGTGCATTTACCCATTTTAACCAGAACGAATAAACATTTGCACATCACCAACACAATTAAAACACTTTTTAACAAATTAAAGTCTAAGCCGGGAGCTAGCTATAAGTTGAATGACCCATATTTGTGTTTTACCACTTGCTGCTTTTTTGTCAGCATTGCAATTTAAATGGAAATACGCACTTTTCAATAATGATGACAGTTTAAGAGTAATAAGCTGTCAGTTTTCTGTAAAAGAAAAATACTACCAACCACATCTAAATTATATAATGAAATGTTACTGGGTAGCACAACAATTTGGATTGTTTACAAACTATCTAGCAAAACCACAATACTATCCAGTTAGTTTACAAACTACTATAGCTAAGTAAGCATAATAACTATAAAATATATGTAATTAAAATAATAAACTACAGGTATCTACAAATAAAAACTAAAAATTACGTGATGTCAATTGAGTATCAGCAATTCTTATGCTGAAGTGTACGATGTGTTGCATACCTATTTACAAACTACTTTTAAATTAAATTTTTAAACAATTTCGAACACAAAGAAAGTGATTAAACAAATTGTTCAAAAAGTGAATTTCGACCACTCGAAGCAATGGTACTAATAGTTTCGAGTTCACAATGACTGATAGGGGGAAGAACTAGTTCATTGTAATAATAATACTTAAATTTAATTTTACATTAAAAAAAACTAAAGTTTCAGTTTGTTTTGTTTTTATTTTCTACTAGTTATGAATAACTTATATTATATAAAAGAATGACGGTTGTTCGAGTTTATTATATACAAAAATTAAAGTAGATCATAAATAACAAATCACTGAAGCTCTCCACAAGCTGAAATAGTAACTTTTTCTGTAGGAGTTCCTGATTTTGTTCCACATCGTTCGGCTCTTTTTACGACATCCATACCGCCTATAACATGTCCAAAAACAACGTGTTTGTTATCAAGCCAACTTGTTTTTGCTGTGCAAATGAAGAACTGCGAACCATTTGTGTTAGGCCCAGAATTAGCCATGGAAAGGATACCTGGACCCGTATGCTTTAATGTAAAGTTTTCATCTTCAAACTTTCGCCCATAGATTGATTTGCCTCCTGTACCATTATGGTGAGTAAAATCTCCTCCTTGGCACATCTTTACTTATAGAGTTAAGAAAAAACACTCACCTATTTATTTCTATTTTGTAAATTAAAAATCACACATAAAGGATACAAAGTCAGGAATTATCCTATGAAAGATACTTCCTTGATAACCATATCCTTTTTCATGTGTACATAAACAACGAAAATTTTCAGCAGTTTTTGGTACCACATCTGCTCTAAGCATCATCGTTATTCTTCCCACTTCTGTTTTTCCAACTTTTATATCAAAGTAAACTTGTGGATTTTTTACTTTCATAGGCGCTTCTTTTTCGTTATTTTCATCCTAGAATAAAATGGTAAATTTAAAACTGCAACCACTACAATAGAGAAAATATGCAAATAGTAACTGATTTTTGATAATAAAATAACAATTTAGAGAAATGGAATCCTCGAGTTATTTGGAGGCCACTCTTCAAATATCTCTTCTCTAAAATTTGTATTGATATTTCTTTGGAAAAAACTAAAGCAAGAACGAAAGTGACCTCTAAATTGTTAGAAGAATTAATTTGTTAACATGTTCCCTTTAGAAGTCACTCTGGAACACCCTGAATTTCAGTTAATCAATTTCACATGTACATACCACTTCATCTGCTTTTTTACTGCTATCTTTATCATTCACCACATTTTTCAAAGTTTCACCAGCGTGTTGTTGTAACCATGTATCATCTGCCCAAACAGGTCTTGTTGAGCCTTCTTTTATACGTTGAGGTTTTGCTAAGTTTACACGAATAGTTCTCCCGAATAATTCTGAATCATTCTTAACGAAAAGACAGTTTTATGTAGAAATTCTTTAATGATGTATTTGATACATACCATATTATCAATTGCAGCAGCGGCATCTTCTGCAGCTTCAAATTCAATAAAAGCAAATCCTCGATGTTTTTCAGTTTCGTAATCTAGAGGAATTTGAATGTCTGCTATGTCCCCAAATGGTATAAATGCTGCATTTAATACTTTTTCATCGACTTCTTCAGCAAGACCTCCAACGTACACTGTTCTTTTATTATTGGAAGTCATTGTACTGTTTTTCTATTTGGGCTCTATTTTAATTAGTTCTTAATGCATTCCCTTAATAACAACTAGCACCTGTAAGTATATTCCTTTCATAAGTTTTTCTTAATTAGTCGAAAAAACAAGTTGTCCTATAAATTTAAGGTTATTAAACTATGGTATGTAGGTAGGCAACTAGTACAACAGTGCTGCTCTGTTGTTTGCGCAGCGTTAAGGTTTTAGATTTAACTTATTTTTTAATTTAAACTGTACGGACAGGAACATATACATAGTAACAACTATAACAACAAAGCAATAAATTTTTAATCTTTTGTCCCAAGGTTGAGAAATTTGTAATTACTTTGGTGTGCTTCTGAAGTTTACAATTTATTTCCTCATTTCCAAAAAGCATTATATTTTTAAAAAAAATTATGTAAGAAATCGTCTGATTTGATTACGTTTAAATAAAACCATATAAAACATATTAATTTGCTAAAAATTATCAAATTGTAACCACAGTCAAATACGATATTTTGTGTATTCTTAATCAATCAAGTTACCGGTCAAGCACTAATAATACATAAGGAAAATAGAAATAAAAGTAATATATAGATGTTATTCACAAGCAGTTTAATCAATTATCTAAACCTAATATCACAAAGATGCGTATAGTTAAAAACTCGAACAAAAAAGTTAGTTTTATTTGAAAAA